ACATGGGGTCTCTCAAATGTTTGTGGAAATATTTTCTGTTCTGTTGTAATTATATGTTTGTCTTTATTTGACGTTAACGTCAGAGGAGATTCTGATAGAGTCTAATCTTATTGGGTGTTTTATTCCCAGTGGAGGATCGATGAGAAACCAGTGAAGATCGATAAATGGGACGGAGCAGCTGTGAAGAATTCTCTGGACGATGCCGCCAAGAAGGTTTGAATTTTGTTCACTAAAGTTTTGTTCTTATATGTTCATCGTGAACACGATCAGATCAGTGTCAGCATGATGTCACATCCTGTGAACAGGAAGTGATGCAAAACCTTGATTCACTGTAGAATATGTCCCTTGTTAAATTAGTGAATGGTTGATGACATCATCAGGTCCCTAATGAGTCTGTGACTTTTGACCCTTGTGTTTCTTGTGTCTGTATGTTGTCCTGCTGCTGCGCCCCCTGCAGGTGTTGTTGGAGAAGTACGGTTACGTGGAGAACTTCCAGCTGGTGGATGGGCGTCTCATGATCTGCACCGTTTCCTGTTTGTTTGCCATGTTGGCGCTGGTGTGGGATTATTTACACCCGTTCCCTGAGTCCAGACCCGTGTTAGCCTGCTGCGTCATCTCATATCCTTCAAGCACAGGATGTGTGCGTGTGGGGGTGTGTTTGTGTGGGGAGGGTGCTGTGGTTGTGTTGTATCATTCTTTAACTCGTCTTCATCACATACTTCATCATGATGGCCGTCCTTACTCTCTACACGTCATATAAAGAGAAGAACATTTTCCTCGTGGCTCTGAACATAGATCCAACTGGAATGGATCCAGATCACATGTGGCATCTCTCCTCCTCCCTCAAACGGTCAGTGATCAATGATCGGCTCCACCGAACAGGCCTGAGATCAGCTTCATCCTCAACGTTGTAGAAAGATTTTTTTACAAGTTGAAAAGAAGTAATCAATTTACTCTGACAGTAACAATACTCTGTGTTTCAGGTTTGATGACCAGTACACGCTCAGAGTTTCCTTCACTGACGGGAAGTCAAAGAACTCGAGGGAAATGGAGTTCACCAGGTCTGTGTCGGCGTTCTTCGACGACAACGGAACGCTGGTGATGGACCAGTTTGAAAAGTCTGTTTCCAAACTGCACGACATGCTCCTCACTGACAAGAAAACTAAATAAATCAGCACAACGTCGTCGGAGGGAGGTGTCAGAGGCTCCTCAGTTTATATGTTGTCATCTCTTTAAAATCTGTCTGTGATGCCACACGTGGTTGTTTGTAACCTTAGTAACCGTGTGTGTCATCGGGTAAAACATTTTGTGAGTCGTCAGAACTCGTGTCTCATTGTTTCTTGTCTAAAGCTGCGAGTCGTTCAGCTTCTTGTTACGATTTGTTGGCTCTGACCAGAACCTCTGAACTCATCATTTCATTATTCTATCGACCCGCGGTGGTTAAATACGATCCTGTGTTTTTAATTTCACCCAGAAAATGGAGAGAAGAAAAAACAGGATTGTGAAACATCTGGACTCTGGACACGTTTACTTTGAAAGTTAGACGCAGCTTCCTGTGGCCGTGCAGGTTGATTTTTTTTATTTTTTTTATTTTTTCCAGATGCGTAGTAAAAACAAATAAAGTTCCTGAATCGTTGCGTCGCAGCTTTTATTATTCCCGGTTTTTCTCATCATCACTGAAGTAAACCTCTGCTTTCCCATGTTATATTTATTACATTTTTTGAATGAGTGAACTCAAAGCTGCCGACGTGACGTCCTGTCAGGTGATCACCTGACGTCACCATCAGCAGCTCATTGGATAGAATCTGTAACATGCTGTCGTCAGTATTAAAATAACATGAACATGTGTTTTCTTTGTTAATCACAACTCGACACGTCACTGGTGAAGGAAAACAACGAGCCTCCATCAGCTGTTGTCACTGACGTCAGCTGATGGGAGTGTTTGATTTGTTCCAAGTGATGATGTAAACGACAGATTCTGAATAATGAGTCTGTAGTTTCCTCCTCCTCCTTCTCCTCCTCCCTGACGGACGTGTTGATGCCTTACAACAGGAAGTAACTGAATGTTGACCAAACTTTTATTTAGAATGTTTTCTTTGTTTCAGTGGAAACTTTTTGTGACGTCAGTAAAGATGATGTTACAAAGAGAATCCAGTGTTTTCTTGTTGATCTGCAGCTCAGCCACAAGGTGGAGCTGTTGTAGAAGGAAGTGAAGGTTCAGACTCAAATGAAAGAAGAAGAAACAACTTAATATAAAATCACTTTGTTGAATAATCAGTGAAACAGAAAAATAAAAACAGTTGCGCTGCAGCTTTAAATAATAAATTGTTCATGGACTGATTCAAACAGTGACAAGTTTAAAACAACGGTTAACGTTTTATTACGAGGAAACTAAGCAACAGGAAGTAACCATCAAAACCAGCAAACGGTCTTTTCTTGAGTCCAGATCTTTATTAAGGTTCTGAGGACTGAGTCCAGATCTTTATTAAGGTTCTGAGGAATGAGTCCAGAGCTTTACTAAGGTTCTGAGGACTGAGTCCAGATCTTTACTAAGGTTCTGAGGACTGAGTCCAGATCTTTACTAAGGTTCTGAGGACTGAGTCCAGATCTTTACTAAGGTTCTGAGGACTCAGTCCAGATCTTTACTAAGGTTCTGAGGACTGAGTCCAGATCTTTACTAAGGTTCTGAGGACTCAGTCCAGATCTTTACTAAGGTTCTGATGTATGAGTCCAGATCTTTACTAAGGTTCTGAGGACTGAGTCCAGATCTTTACTAAGGTTCTGAGGAATTGAGTCCAGATCTTTACTAAGGTTCTGAGG